ATCATCAGATTCCTCAGATTGCTCAGTAACTAAAATAATCAGCCCTACTGATGCCATCAAATTCCAATTGCTTGATCTACATCTTCGAAGCAATATCCAGTAAAAATGACTAATTTTAATGCTTGAAGTCACCAGTAAAGTAGGAGGCCACATTAAAAGTGTGAAAAGGTCATATTTAGGCTTTTAAGTAATACTGTTTTTTTTTCCTAACATGAAAAGATATTCCAGAAGGCATAGGGACGTTTTGGAAAACCTCAACATCACTTTGCTGTTAAACAGGAAGTGGAGTCAAATGAGTCATGCGGCCTTTCACAAGCTGTTCACTGCACTGAGAGCAGAATCAGTGACATTGGTGATCAACAATGGGTGATTTGCAGTTGTACAGATCAATGTAGTTTCTTACACTCTGCCTCACAGATGGAAACTACAGAGGGTCCTGAGGCTCAGAGTGAGTATTAATGAAATATTGACTGACTGCAGCAATTACACAACAAATTATATGAACAAAAGAGCATCCACTATTTGACATTATGACTTCTGTCTATCACTGAATAGTTTGTCCTCAAGTTGCCAAAAAACTGAGGATGTGCTGGACTGTCTGACATGTGCATGTTGGCAAAGAGTCTACCTAATGAGCGAAAATACTTATGGAGGGGGCAAATGCCAAATTAGCACCGTATTAAATATGAAAGAGAAGGTTTTCCCAGCACAAAATTTCAGCTGAACCAGAGGAAAATTTAGTTCAGTGAATATTTTACATTGTAAATTTCCTTTAAATAGGTAAATTCAAAGTAAACATTTCCACCTCAAATTCAACAGAAAAATCTATAAGATTTCTCACTTTAAAAATAAATTGCTTTTATACATCTGCTGCAAAATGAATATAGATAACCAAAGATTTAGACAAGCTATGCCACTTGTTTCACATTTTCTCTATCAAAACTATGCTTATCTGGTGCTTCATTTATCAAACAGACATTTATTAAAACAAAATTCATTCAAAATGTTCAAATAAGAAAAAGATGAAGTGTTGTCCTGCTATTTTCATCCCCAAAAATGACTGCTGTAGTTAAGCCCAAATTATCATTTAATTATTTGTATCCTCAGCAGAATTATTTAAACTAATCTGTGAATTTTAACATAATGCTTTGGGGAGGCCCACCCAAAGTCCAAACTTGAACTTAATAGAGAACCTGTGTAGGGGCCAAAAGATTAGGGTGATGGAAAGGAGGCCTTCCAACCTCAAATCTCTGAGCTCAATGACTTGAAAAATGAAAAGTCTGATCAGGATTTTTGTGATGATGATTACTGATGTATTTTAGTAAATCCTAAAAATAAAAATATGGAACATAAGTGAATGAGCATGAGAACAGCTGACTGGACTAGAGAACATGGAATCTCTGAACATGACAGAAATGTAGAAACGTCCATTTTCAGCACCACACCCTCACATTAGATCTTTCAAACTAAGAGTTGGTATTATGAGTGCGGTATAGATGTCAGAGGTGGCAAACCTAAGGCAGGGCTCTTCAATCTTTCTGATCCAAAGAGCCATTTCTGCCCTCAGTCCAGCTAAATACATCCTGCTTAGAGCCACCGGTAACCGGTGGCTGCTTTTGAAAGGTACCAGTACCTTTAGTAAAGTCAATATTAGTTATCCGTGTTTAAGAACATTAGTTTATTCTTTATCATTTTTAGCCAAAGTTATGAGAACCTTTGGGAGACAGGTCACAGACTCCCTGTAATAAGGACAGAGTTATGAATCCATTAATGTGTCATTGCTTAAACAAATAATTTAAGTGAATGGTCTTAAGATCTGGAATTGTCTAATATCAGAAAATATAAAACTGACATAATATGATATCAGTCATTCGCTTAGGAACAGCAGCTCAGTTCTCATTCTATAACCAGGGCTGATCAGTACAAGGTGGCTGCAAAGCTAATGACAATTAGCCCTGTCTTTGAGGAAAACTAATATACTATGTATAGAACATAATGTAATATGTTGTCAAACATATTTTGTATAAGCTTACAACATAAAAAAGTAGGAAAGGATTGAAATTGCATTTGTTATGAACTGAAGTGATTTGGTGGGTGAGTCTGTCAGTCAACCATCTCTGTCAGCAGAGCAAAATGGGACAGTGGCTGATTTTCAGACCCATGCAGAGGAGGATAGGATTGGCAGATGAGATCAGTTTCTCAGATCACAGATCTCCCAAATTTAAGGAAATCTGAGCTGATTTATTAAAGCTAGCTAGGCCACACGAGAAAATGTTGAATGTGTCACTTTTAGGTTGGTTCGACTCTCACAGCCTAGCAGTTGCTGCTTAATAGCCGAAACTGCTGAAAATGGAAACAAGGTAGTATTAGAGATGAGCAAAGTGAAACTCTGCCCAGTTGTTAAACGACTTTGCCTTTTGTGTTGTTCAATCTTACACTTTATGGGTATAATTTTTAAATATAGTGCTCAAAAAAATAAAGGGAACATTTCACTTTAATTTTGTGTGTGGCTCCAAATCCAGGCCTCCATTGGTTAATAAATTTGATTTCCATTGATGATTTTTCTGTGATTTTGTTGTCGGCACATTCAACTTTGTACAGAATAAAGTATTCAATGAGAATATTTCATTCATTCAGATCTAGGATGTGTTATTTGAGTGTTCCCTTTATTTTTTTGAGCAGTGTATTTTATTAAAAACTGAACATCACCAATCATCAAGTAATTGATGATTATGAGGAATTTGTCTATTGAACGGTGATTTATTTATCTACTGTGGTACAATGGAACACCTCAGAGCCACTGCTGCCTGATGTTCTGTCCACATACAGACTTTTATGTGTATGTGATAATAATCTACCATAAAGTTTAGCCATAAAAGAGAGCTGGCTGTGGTAAATGAATAAACACCATGCTGTGAATCCCATACAGTGGTTGGCTCTCATCTTAAAGCATCCTCACAAGTGCACCATGCGACTTGAACGGTCTTTAAGGTCACTTCAGGTCACTTCAGCCAGGCATCTGTATTAGTGGTTAAACATTCACATCACTGAATCTTCCATCCCATCTCTGCACCACAAATATTTCCCAGCAGCAGCTTCCTTCACCATCCTTGCCAGGTTGCACACTTCTCAAGGTGAGTCTTTGTCCTCCCATCTCCATCACTCTGTCTGCTGTAAGATGTAAATCAGCTGACCATAATTTCACCTCTGCCTTCCTTGTCCTCAGCCTCCATCCTGATCATTAGCTTCTGTCCTGATCAACTGATTGGTCAATCTCAAATGGTCCCAGCTGCTTTGGAAACTAACCCTCCCTCTGGTCTCCATCTAACTCCATGACAGCCCATTTTACTTGCATCTCCTCTCTCACTCCATTCATCCAACGGTAAATCAGAGAACACGGGAGTTTCCACTCACCACCTCCACCCCCCATGAGCTAACAAACCACTCTCCCCTCCTCCACCTCCCGCTCTTTAACGAAGTAGCCAGAGTTGTGTGCGGTGTCCCCCTCAGGCAGTCTAGTGGACATAGTTACAAACCGTGACAGGGCAGCGGCGATACTCTGCTCTAGCCTTCTCTTATCCCAACCCTCTACAGCTGGATATGGAGCACAACAGAAAGCACTTAAGGGTTCACAGAGTTCCCTACACTATATATTCTTACTAGTCTAATTCTGATTTATCAGAATCCAAGGAAATGCTGAAATGACCAGTCAGAATCAGAAAAAAAATGTACTTCATAAAAATAGCACAAAAAGTGCTTCATAAAGCCTAACTTTATGAATTCATAAAGCCTAACTTCGGGTCTGGATCAAGCTCAGTGTGGTTTCATTAGGCATCAGGGATGAAACGAGACGATGAGGGCTACCCTCAATGAGAGCATCTTCCTCTGGGACCCATCAGTCAACATGTTTAGGAGCGTGGGGGTTTAGAGGGAGGATTGTCACTGCTGAGGAACCATTTTGACGCACTTGTCCGTTTTGGATACCCAAAACTCAATTGTTGCTTTGTTACCCTTCAGTAAACCCAGCCACATCCATGGCAGCAGCATCATACCTGCTCTATTATATAATGTGTAAATGAGTTAGTACTAAATGGCGTTTGAGAAAATGAAAAGGGAAACAAACCAGAGGCAACACCCTCAGTAGAGAAGGGTTGCACATTTAGGCATCTGTGTAATTTTATGATTTTTTCTGCTTTAAGGAGAACTGAAAAGAAAACTCGGTATGGGTCTACAGCCAATCAGGTAGGAAAGACTAAACTCGGCAGCTTGCAGCTTACATATTAGTCCATAACTGTGCTTTTGCACATTTATTATCTCGGACTATGTGAGATATTCAATTCTGGCTTGTTTTTGGGAACGCGTCTGCCCTTTAGTTCGTGACCAATCGCGTCGAGCTTGTTAAAAGCGCATGCACTAGGCAACGTATTTGGCCTGTTCTTAACCCCAAGTTGCTTTTTGGATCGCATAAAAACAACCCAGAGCACCTATGATGCCATAAATGAAGCGACAGGCTGTGTGAAACACAAACGCCCTGTTTGGATGTGGAGTAAATGTACCTGAGCCTGTCTCCCTAGGTGAGAATGGAGACTCCTGCATTTAACGTGTCATTTAGGTGAGACTGAAATAAGGCTGCTTCAGTATGGATGAGTCAGAAAGCTGCAGCATATTCTCCACAAAAATAAAATGAATAAAAATGAATCCACCCCCCACTTTCATCCCACTTAATCCCCGTCTTCATCGTTACACCCACTGATTTGGTGTTATAAACAGCAGATACCTAATGTAATGACTTTTCTGAGAGGAATTGGATCCGTTTGACTGCATTACACTTTTGATAAATAGCTAACCGGCCGTATTCAATGTCATTCTAACATCATACCTTCATTCATTTTAACCCTTTCATCTGCAGACTCACCTTTTAACATAGCCGAATCTGTGCCGAACAAACGGCCGACATTTTTGCAGCGGAAAACCGAAGTAGCGTAAATAATGTTTCTTACCCCCATTGTTGCGCTGTCAGTCGGTTCTTCTCCAAAGACGAACTCAGACTTGATTAAACCAGAATATCTGGATTTGGATTTTAAGACCAGAAGATGAAACTGAATTAAAAGGGGGAAAAAAACGAGCAACTGTCTTAAAATGTCGTCTGTAAGCTACCGTTAGATAAAACTGTAATGTGAAAAATCCGTTAACTGGCTAAAAGAGAATCCTGTAAACTGACATTTTGGTGAGGATTTAACACAAGGTTCACTGACAAGGGAACGTCTCAATAAACACCTCGACAAAAAGCTTCACCCTCATTCAAAGGGAAATTAAAAAAAGCTCGTTATAATTTTTTCGGTGTAAAATATTGAAATTAATCGCAGCCGTTCACCAACCGTCTTCCCGCGAGGCGAAAATGATGCCGGTGGAAAGTAGAGCCGGCCAACAGCCTTCTCTCTCCCTCTCGGATGCCGTCTCCCTCCGAGGCTGCACGCAGACTGCCGTGACAGCCAAAGACCTCATCTCCCGACAACCATAACTCTCCGCAAAGTAAATAGTTCCCAGAATAACTGGCAAAGGTAATTCTATTAAGTGGCAAGTTTTCCAATTTAATTGAGTTATAGCATTATTTATATAACATTAACTACGATTTGACAAGTTTAAAAATGCTATCTCAGAACACAACTATTTTGTCATCAGTGGTGTGTCTGTGCCTGATAGTATTGCATAAATACATTTATTAAATATAATTAAATTGTGATTTTTGTTGAACCAGTTAAAATAATTTCTACTGCAGAGTTAATAGCTTAGTAAGTCATTTTGAAGTTACAATCACAAACTTCAATGTATTTTTTTTGAAAGTAGATTTTTCCACTGAAAAAAATGGTGTTTAAAAAACTGTGGTATGTATGTCAATATCTTGCAAAAACTACATCAAATTCTTGTCATTTTTTATGCACACATTGTCCAGTATGCTGAATCAATCAACTATAATAGCTAAAGTAAAACTAAGTAAAAAAAAGAACAACCAAAGTCCAAAGAAAATTAAAATATTACAGGAAAAACTGGCCTGCTTGGAAGCAAAAATAATGAGAAATATAGAATGACTGTGTTTTGCAAAATGTTTTATCCCCCTTGGAAACTTTGATTAGATTATAATCTGATTTGCTGAATTAATCAGTAGGCATCTATCGGAGAAACCTTTGTCAACATTACATTTTCATTACTCTAGAAGTCATCAGAACATACAGAACATTCACTGAAAAACTTGATATTAAGAAGAATTTAAAACTTTTGTCCTGTATTTATAATTCAGTACAGATTGACATTTTGTTATCCAATGTTTCATAAATGCTTCTGAAATTGTGGTTTATTGACATCACTTCTGAGCAGAACTAAAGCTTTATTTATTGATGCATATCTGCAATTTGCATGGCATATTTGACCTGGCAGCGCAAAGGAGGAAGCAAAACAGCAAAAGAAAATAGCTGGAAGAAGGTAAATTCAAAGAAATGAATCAGATCAATTTAACTTGGCCAAAACTCAAGCACAAGTGGAATAAAAATAAATCACAGTACAAGCTGGAAATAATGTCATATTCACAGTCTGTTGTAACAACATTACATAACAGATTGTTTCTGTGCTCATCACCTGCTGTGGAAGATTGCAGACAAATTAGAGACCCTACTGCACCAAGAGGAGCTGCTGCCATTTATGCATAAATATATATTAAGCTACCTTGATACAGGAGATTAAATGACACCAAGCAGTGTCTTAGAAATCTTTTAGTATTTCATCATATAGGAGCATGCATGCTGCTGTGAAAATATCTGGATGTGATTGTCTGCAGGCATTTCTGTGTCCAGGTAGGATCGATACTCTGTCATCACTCCGGAGTGACCTGGTTTCTGCGCTGCTCAGTCATCCATCAAACAAAAACAATCTTTTTACCCGGGATGTTCCAGAAATAGAAAATGGAAATATTGTGTCAGTAGTGTGCTGGGGTTTTTTCTTACAAAAGAAATGTATAAAAGTGTGATAGTTGGCAAAGTAAAATTTCTTTATATACAGGAATGATACCAACAGATTTAGCTGAACTGACCCATAAACATTAGGAATAAAACAGTGATTGTATTTTGTGAGCAGAGATTAACTACAAGTGCACCTCAGTAATTAGAGAGTTAATGTATTTCATAATACCAATTCAAATACCAAAATGCATATAATAAATGCAATAATTAGTAAGCAATAATATATTTTTAATTTTTGCAAATATTGTTTTCAGCTGTTCCTTTCACTGTGTCTGTCCGGTGCACATTTTTGGCAAAAAGTAGAGAAACTTGAAATGATGCCCTTTTCTTGACTACTTTTAGTGCACACACACTTGTATTTTTGCTAAAAATTACATAATCAGTCTTTCCAGAATTCACATTTTCCCTCTGGTATATTTCTGCTGCTCCTCTTCATTTATGCATTATTTTCAATGAATGCAGCTGTTAATGTTGCGTCTCTTCGTTTTTCTTACCAAGTGTGCCTCATTATGTGGCACACATAATGTTTAGCTATGGAGTTTTTCCTGGATTAAATCTTTAACAAAACTATTGTTGCCATTAGTTTTATGTAATATCTTTGTTTGGTTTAATGTAACTGTCTGCTCTTCTTTAAATGATTGTTTTACCAATTAGCATAAATGCTACATTGCATATGACTGACATATTTTTGTGTTGATCTGTGACCAGATCTAAAACTTACATGACTTTATTGCTTTGCAGCTGAATTTTCCATTACTTTACATGAATTGAGTTTGTCTTGAAGTACCTTGAGCTGTTAAATTAATAAAATGAAATAAAAACATTCCATTGGAAAACCATAATTATTGACTGCAAAAGAACATTTTAATCAAACTAAGAGATTAAATAAAAAATCTTCAGAAGTTCCAGTTTTTAATTGAGCTCGTTTTCAGATTGTGCACTTTTGAATGTCATCAGGATCTACAAACTGACAATGTTGTTCTTACCCATTTTTGTTCTTTTTTCACTGAATTTATAAGTTTAAAATCTAATTTTTACACATTTAATGTAATATTTACTATAATTATGATTACTTTTCTACTTTATGTGGACAAATGCTTTAATTACCAGTGAATTTTGGAGTTATAAATACAATCTGATGCAACTTTCGCTCACTGGACCTTCAAGAAAGAAAATCAGCATGCTGCAGAATAAAATGAATGAAAAATATATAAAATAATCCATTTAAGACTGGTTTACAAACGAGAAAGGAGCCAGAATGTATGGTAATACATTCATACTCGTTGGTCTCCTCTAAATTTCCATTCCTCAGCTTCCTCCTTCTCTCCTGCACCTCATTTGATCCTCCTCTTTACTTTCCTCTCACAACCGTAGCCACTCTTGCATGTCTCCAGCTGTCAGGGTGTGTCAGAACAATGGAGGCAGCACTTCTCAAACGAGAAATATTACAGTAAACCTTTCCTCTCTTGCAAACTGTAACAACTGGTTGGAACAGGGGACATTTTTGAAAGAAAAGTGTTGAAAGCAGGACTGAATGTAGTTACATGCCAAGTTCATATTTCCATGAAAACAACGCTTTTTTATTTTTACACAGTTAAGGGGTAATATATATTTTCTACAAAACGTTTTTATTGTCTGTTGTAAATGGCATAAGGCTGCATTTGTGCTTCATAAGAAAAGTGCTTCATAAAATAAACAAGTGCTTTAAAAAGCAATATGAAGGTGAATTTATAAAAGTTTGGTAGTTTATACGATTTTTGTGTTTTAAATGTGATGATTCATGACCTTTGACCACGGTTGCAACAGGTGTATGAGAGAAACTCAGATTTCTTAGTGGTTTCCCTCCCAGGCTCTTTCTGTTTGAATTTAGAAGCATTTTCAGAGCAGAAGTAATAAATGTATTTTTTTATTGCTCTGTAGAAACCCTTCTGATTCAGAGCTAGCAGAGTGGAAAGAAAAATGAATCAAATTTTACAACATTACATAAAAAAAACAGTATAAACCTTCAGCTGGCAAGACTATTCTGGGGGAAACAGTTTAAGATCACCTAAAAGGTTTTGTGACAGGTGGGTTTAATACCACAAACACATTCCAGTATTTTATTATTTTTTGAACATTGATGTTTTTATGGAGTGAATTCTCAGAAAACCTGAGTTATACCAGAGAGACTTCTCTCGTTTTAAGCATTTAAACTGCAATTTATGTCAAAATGTCTCTGGATGGTTTTGAATGTAATTTGTTGTCCACATTTTGTCAGGAAACAGTTGGATTGATTTATCTAAGAAACCTGATTGGATGGCATATTTAAGAACTTGAAGACATGCAGGATGGCATGAAAACATGCTAAATAATAACATGCTGATAAAAAAATCTAGAAAAGGATATTAAGAAGCTCTAATGTTTAATGTTTTTCATATTCTGTAACATTTGCTTTTTCCTCGTCGTTTCTGGTGGTGCACAGCTTTTCGATGCACAATAAATAATTCACTCCACCTTAAAGAAGTTTCTATTTGTGTGTCGGTTTGTGGAAATCTGTGTGTCTGGATGGTTCTGCCTCCCACACACTCCGTGCACTTTCTGCTCCAGTCAGAGATCACATCTTTTAATGGAAACACTTGAAGGTAGAGAGAGGCTGGGATCACCAGAGTAAAGGTTCTGTTTTATGTTTTGGGGAGGAGAAACAATCTGAGTTCTGGAGCAATTTTAAAGCAAAATGTCTGCCATATTCCTCCTGCAGTACGTCTACTGTTCACAAGACATGAACTCTTAATTTGACGCTCATTCAGCAATTTGCTCACCTATAATGCCAAGATGAGGACTTAAATTAATTTATTCAAGTCTGTTTTCTATTCACAATAATAAACCTGTGTAGAGTCTGGAGTCTCGGTCCTTTTAATTTCTTCTCTGCTATTTTCCATTTTAAAAAAACTAAAGTGCCATTTTTACAAAGAATAAATTTGTATATACAAATTCAAAATTTTACTTGGTGAAAAACAACAACACAGATTGTGTGTTGTGTTAGTTACTGCAAGTGCAGTTTACAGCAGCTCATAACTGCTGATCAATAACTGAGGGGCAGGAAGTGAGTCCGACCTTGCTCTTTATTTGGACGCGTGAACAGACCAGAAATCATGGACCTGCTGGCTACTCTGACCACTATTTTTAAAGTGTGTGATAAATATTTTAGGAAGTAGTTTGGGAAAAATCCATGAGACGAAAAGAAGTTGTCAAACAGCCATGCCTCCTCCAGCTGGTACTTTACTCTGGTAAACATGGCTGCCAAAATTTACTATGCAGCTGTTGCTTTAAGAACCTGTTCCACTGTGACGGCCAATCACAGACAGGAGAAGGTGTTTTAGACTGTCCTTGTCAATGACCTTGAAGGAAGCAGGATGGTGGAGATGGAGGATGAACGTAAGATTGGTTTAAAGACCAGTCATCTTCCAGTTTTCCTCTCTCTGCTCGACCATTGACTGCAACATCACCTCATCCCACTCACACAGTCCTCCCCTCCATCCTGTCTCCTGATAGGCCTGTGGAGCGTTGCATAATTCCCAGAGTGGGGGAAGGAGGAGAAGATGGGTGAGAGAGGAGGAGAAAGAGAGAGAATGACTCACGATGCAACCATAAAGCTGAAGTGCTAAAGCCTCATACTTCATCACAAGCAGGAAGAAACTCCAGCAGTTTTTCTGCAGCTTTATTATTAAAGTGAATGTATTAGTTATTTTACACACTTCATTAAAATTTTACTTTGTCTATTGAATGCAGGTTTAAAAAGATGTGACACTTGCTCTCAATGTAAAAATAATTAAAATTCAACAAAAAGTGTTGGATAAATGTGCATAATAGATTAGAAGTGCAATGAGCTAAATGTCAATTCAAACACACAATGGCACTGAAAAAACATTGTGAAAAATATTGAGATGTTTTGTAATCACTTAAAAAACAGCACCCACCCTTTTTCTATACATGTACGTAACTGGACATACGGGTAGATGATCTGGATGTAGAATTTCACTGCAGTTTTCCTCAGAACTCCACTAAGAAAGAAGTGGATTTATATCACTAAACTGCTGCACACAGAAATTGTTCTCAATCATATTTTTGCATTTGCTTCCTGTGAAATCAATGGAGAAAATGGCTAAAACTACATTTCTGATAATACAGTTTTGTTTATTTGACATCATTAATTTACATTTATTGAGACAATGATAAATTAAAATTTGTATGATTTTTTTTGTGTGCGATAAATCAATGGGTGAGAGCCTGGTGCACCCTGGGTAAAATGCTCCAAGAAACATATTGAGTTAATAAATGTCACAATCAATTAATGGATATGAATAATGCAATTTTACATCCTCATTCTCTATTTACTCAGTTTAGATGATGAACTAGTTGTATTTACTAAAGTTATCTTGATAAATCAAATCCTCATAGTCACTTACATGTATGAATAATTTGCCAGTGGAAGTATAACTTTATCAATATCAAAGAATTATTGAAGCAATACAAGGTACTATATCTTGCTGTAAAGTTACTTGTATGTTAAGTTTGTCTTTTTTCAAGTGTACCAAAATATTTGCACTAGAAAATGAACCAAAATTAGTTGGTAAGATTTTCTGTTTTTGTAGTGGAGGGAAGAACAGATCTGTAACATTTTCACAGTATAAAAATAATTCCACTCGTGTAAAGAAATAGAAAAGTAAGAATTTTCTCATCCAGGTAGTAAAAATCTAAGACACTCAAGTGAATCAATTTGCAAAGTAAAACCTCAAGTCTACATATTCTAAATCTATCAAAAGTTTGATTTCAGCAAGTTCATGTTCTGAGTTAGGTTGTTTATATTGGTTAAATACTTCAATGCTTCTCCTTTAGATCTGCCAACCAGCTAGCCAGAGTAATGAAACAACCTCAGACATCCATCTTCTCTCTCTCCCTGTCCTCTTATCTTCTGTAATGTTGATGTTTCATTTGGCCCACAAACAAATGCCGCCCTGGTTTCTCTGGGAATCCATGTCTGGGTGACCTTGTAGAGGAAATCACAGGCGGTCCATCATGTACCGGCGTAGGGAGCCTTAGATTCGATAAGACCCGAGGATAAAATTGGTTAATTTACTCCACAAGGGCCACACGGGGCTTTGCTGTGCCTGGGGAAATCTACAGGCATTAAGCCAGTTATGGCATCCTAAATGTTGCAATTTTTTAAAAACACACCGGGTTTTGAATTTTCTGTATAACTTTTCCAGTTCAGGCATAGCAAACCAACAGATCACGTGTCAAAGTCGAGGCCCAGGGGCAAAATCTGGCCCACCGTAGCTTTTAATGTGGCCCTCTAGACTCCAGACGCCAAATTACCTCCCTCCAGAATTTTTTAATTTACGCAAAAATCAAAAGATTCACACATATTTTGCTCCAATTCATCCCTGATTTCACTGGAAATTTTCCACAAAAGTGGCCAGAAACAGACGGTTTACATGCGATTCCCATCCGCAGGAGGCAGTATTTCTTACTTCTACTACACTGCTGACTGAGTTTTATTTAATGTCAGTTATAATATGATGATCTGAAACACTGAAATGTAACAAAAGAAGCAAAAACAATTATATGGTTGTACGAATAAGCAATCTAGTTGCTCTAGGTGTCTTGTGTTGTTTAGCACCTTCTTGTCTGCCACCCTCTCTTCCATTTTTCCTCTCATATCAGTCACACTTTTCTTTTGTCTCTGCTCATGCTCATCCCTCCCTCGCAGCCCGTCACGCTGTCACCTCTCAGGCTCCATCCATCTATTACACAGACAGCTGTTGTTCCTCTCTGATTGGCTCACCATTTTATCCCGGCTGTGGCTCGGCGCCGTCTAAAATGGATCCCCTTCGCGGGACTCATGGAGACGCCGAACCTGCAGAGTGATTTAACTTTGTGTGCCGGCAGCTCTGACAGCAACGTTAATAGGAAAAAGTCTATGATTTAGTGCATTGAGGTTTGTCTGCTATGGACTTTTATGAAGTGAATTTCTGACATTACGAGTCGTTTATAGTGTGTTAATGTAAACATTTGGGATTTTTTTCCCGTTCATATTTAGAGATTTTGGTTTCTCTGTATGAGGTGAATATAACTCACTTTATCTGTTATGACTGGATGGCATTTCACAACTAGACCTTCTGTCCTCTCACACCCACATTCCCGACGTTCCCTGGTCGCCGTATCTCGACCTTATTTCCACTGCATCTATGAATGAATGTGAGAAAAAAGTGAATGAAAAAGAGAGAGAGATGGAAAGAGAGGAGGGGGATTATAGTGAGTTTAATTTTAGACACGACACGTAATTCCCTCGTTTTTCCAGGGCTTCTATAAATAAACTCTGCTCTCACTCTCAACCCCTGTTCTCAACTACACGATCGCTGTTCGATGGGTAACATGGGAGGGTGGGGGCTGTTGCTAAGCAACCGTATCCTGAATTGGGAGGTCATGTGATTGGCGGATGACTGCCACCATGATGAACCCACATGTAGGCTCAGTGGAAACATCTCTAGATATCAGTCTTTACTACAATAATAGCTTTTCTTCCATTCTGTGAAGTCATGATAAATCCATCCACAAAGTGACAGACGGGTTTTTCTGCCGTCTGACTGCCTGATGGTTCTGTCTGGTTTAACTGCAGTGTTATGTAACGGCACATCCAGGCTTTTAGGTGGTGGGATAATGGGCTGCAGCTCCTTTAATGGACGGCTGTAGATTAACCCGGCCTCTTAACGCATCACTTAGTGCACAAGAAGGTAACAACTGAGGAATTTACTCTTACTGTGGTTATTTAGTGACTGAGTAACAAGTGGAAGAAAATCCAGATTGATGATAAAACCTGTAATCACTGGTGACAGGATCTGGGTTTGGAAAAAAGATTCCAGTTTTCAAAGATTGGTGACTTCAGACTCACTAACTTCAGCAGTTCTCAGCGTTTCCCAGATCGTAACAGAAACTTTCCCATAGATCTAAACCAAACATTTCCAGTTCACCTCAGGTCTGTCACTAACCCAACCAGAAACAAGAAGAGATGATCAGTTAACAACCTTTCTTTTCAAATCTGTTCAAATGACTCCGCAGTTCTGATGATACGATTACAAAAACACTTCGTCAAACATCGTCTGATACTACATACACAAAACTGTGGTCAGACATGGACAGCAGCTTGCACAGAGTCAGACTGGGAAGGCTATTCATCAAACAGAACAGAATACGCTCAAACAAGAATGAGTAATCTCAGATGATGTTGGGTAAATAAACTCTAAAAAGTCACTTAAAGCCATAAAAAGGAAGATCTTCATCACAGAGACGAGTATTCCTCTCGCTGCAATTCTAAAATTGAGTTAGAGCCTAAACTTTAATTGAGGTGAGTCCAATTAGTTGTAATCTCTCAACAGTACACACAAACTCCTGCTCTTTCCCACCACTGAGTCAACATCCTGCAGCCAGAAAGTCAGATTATGATGTCCAGGGATTTCTCCTGGCAGAAACCAACTAAATATGGAGGGGGCTTCCCGACATCGGCTGACCCCCAGGAGCCCAGCCTCAGCCACCAGCTGCTCGCTGCCATGCTCCCCGGCCCCCAGGAGGGAACCCTGGAGTCGCAGTCCGGGAAATGGTTGCCGATTGCTGTGGTCTGCAATTCGTCAAGATCATGATTCACAAAATATGCTGGTGCTTTTTGTCCAGCCGTGTGTAGCACAATAAGCTAATTGATCATTTTTCTGCAGGCATCCATCAGGACGGCTCTTCCAGGGAGCTCTGAGGGATTTTCATACCATCAGGGAAATTAGAGAATCCTCTGGACCACAGCGGCGTTCAGAGTCTGCAGCAGTTTCTAAAGCTTTCAGAGACCCAACAGATTCAGCAAAGTGTTTCTCCGTCTTTCATTCCAGCTTTAGAAAATTTAGTAAAATGTTGAATATTTTCTGTGCAGATTTTCAGATGAAAACGTCTCAAACAAATAAATAAGTCAGATTGTTTCATATTAATTTGCAAAATGCAATAATTGTGCCTTCAAAAATAGCTTTGAAAACCAATTGTTGGTTGGTGAAAAAGATGAAACCATCCAAATCCATATTCAGAAACTAAAACTACGCTTTTCTTCCTCAATAGAAGAAAAACAGTTATTGATCTTTTTTTCTGTCATTCCTTGAATTTTGTTTAACTTGAATTTAGTTTTTTCTAATTTAATTTATCATGCCAATTTTCAGTTTTCAACATTTTAGTTTATCAAGTTATTCCACAAGTCTTTTTAAATTTATACATAAGAAAAAAACACAAAGAAAAGAAAAAAACTGTCACAGTCTCTGTTCTACCGCTGATCTGACGACATTCTAAGGCGAAAGAGGAAGTGAGCTTTAGGATCACGCCTTCCTGAGCATTCACCTTGACGGTGCACTAAACCCCCCTAAACACTCCTCTGCCCGGCTCTCCCATTGGACTGTCTACGGGAACGGAGTCCGCTCTGATTGGACACCGAGACCCAGCCTGTTTCTGGGCTGTTTCCATGGAGATCACTATGGCCTCATCCAGAAGCAGACGATCAGAGCAGGATGGGGAAGGAGTGAGAAATGATGACGGGCTTGTGGAGTGTGTGAGAAATGTGCGAGAAGGGAAGAACGAAATGTCGAGGAATTAATGGAAAACTGCAGCCATGATGGAGAACGTTGCTGCATCCTACTAATTTAACACTGTAAGCCTGAAAATGACTGTCCTCCAGCTGTGCCACACAGGAACATTATTAGCATTTGATGAACATTTCTGAACTACTCACAATCGCTCAGGCAGAAATGGAGACGCCTGTTTCTGCAGCATTTTCCAGTAGGAAACAAGAAAACCACACAACTGTACAGTAATTGTAGTTATGTACAACCAAATAGATATTTTCCTGAATATGTTTTAATCTTAAAAACATGTTTTCATGAAAGATTTTAGAGTCCAAGATAAAGAAGTGAAGAAACATCTCAGCAAAGCTTTCAGTCCTGAGCTGCTCTAATTGTCTTATTTAAAGATCCTTCTTTTTATCTAAGCTAAAAATAAAAGGCATCCGGTATGATTCATCTGAGCGCACTGTGCAGCACAGCTTGAAGAAACCTGCAGGAACAATTCAGACCAGGATAGTTACCTCCCTGTAAAAACAACCTGAAACTATCTGATCTTTACCAGATGCAAAAATGACTAAATATATATAACCAGACTTTAAAGTCTGGATGCCAGATCAATCTACTGCATGTGTTTATATTAAAAAGAAAAACAAACAAAAAAAAAACAACAACAAACAAACAAAAAAAACACAAAAGAAAAACAACAATAATAAAAAAACCAAAAAAACAAAAAACACACCGATCTTAATCCAGGGCTCCATGTCCTCCTGAATCTGGCCCTCTGGATGTCCCATCAAATTCACCCCAAGGTGACAGCATAGCGTAGCGTAGCATAGCATAGCATAGCATAGCGTAGGACAGAGTAGCGTAGTGCTCAGTTCTCCATCCCAGACTTCACTGCTCTCAGTTTTCACATTGAATGTTGAAGTTCCTGACCGGACGACTAGAGAAAGACTAATTATGTTTTTCTATTTTTAAGACCCACAAAGAAATTAAAGATTTTTTTGCCTAATAATAATAATAATAATAATAATAATAATAATAATAATAATAAAAACACAACTACACTCTTCAGAGTGGAGACTGTTACTGAGGGAAGAAGCTACAAGTTTCCAAGTTGGAAACAGATGTTTGTGATTAATTCAGACTGTAAGAGAGAGTGAGACTTTCAGCAGATAACAGGAAGTACAGTAGTGTGTTTTCAACCTGTGCCTGTCACAGAACACACTAGAGGGAACAAACATATGCAGCTGTTTTTGTGTTGATTATTGTTTTAATTACTAATAAAAGAGTTAAAAATGTTCGCTCCAAATCTGTGTTTTAGTTTTAAAATAACTGGAAAACTCTTATTGGAACAGATATCTGATGTTATGCAGTGTTGCTTCTGCTATTGTGAATATTTTATGACTGCTAATGTTAGGAAAGGATAAAAACATTTTTAATGTCATGTAAAAACTGTAACTGAAAGAGAGCCTTTTGTTTTTTCTACAACACCTCAGAGAAATTTAAACTTAAAGAATCATTTCTTTATGGAAAAATGCAGGTGAATCAAAGTGATGAATCATCACTCAGAGCTTTGCTCCTTTCAGGAACATCAAATTGCCCCTTTTGTGTCCGTCATAAACTTTTCAGCAATTCCTTTTCCTGCAGGAAGCCAGATTAAAGAGCAACAGCAACACAAGCAGAACTGTGAGGGAGACAATTTATGGCACAGCAGATGATTTAAAAATGAAAACAAAAGTGGAGCCACTTTAATCAGATGGAAACTGAGAGGGAAAAATGCCAGACGACTCACCAAGCCAAGCTACGATTTATCAAACATTTTCTATTTTTAAAAATGAAACCAACAAAATTTAGAAACAAACTAGTGACACTGCGTGGGAAGTATTCACTAGAACTTCTCTTACAGACAAAAATCAGTCAGTATTCCTTAAAAATCAACAGTTTAAGAAAAGAATAAGGAACGTGCAGGAAGATTCAAAACATCTACAAAGAGATTAATTAGTAAGATTTGAACTTTATCTGCAGGTGAAAACTTTCAACATTTCCATAGTTTGAAAATGGAGAAAGAAGTTCTAACATTCATAAGAGTTCCATATCTCCACCATCCAAAAACAAGAAATGTTAATGCACGTCATGCAAAAATACAATTTCCTAAAATATTTTTAAATTTCTCATGTTTGCTTTAGATTAGGGATGCCCACCTGCAATCCTCCAGAAACACTGTGCTGCAACTTTCAGATACTTTCCTCCTTCAACTCTCCTCAGTGAAAATGCTGAATAACCTCCTTCGTTCCAACTCTGCAGAACTTAAACATTTCTGTTAGGAACACGTGACTTTAAATTCAGAACCCTCCTCCTCATTTCTTCTTCTGTGGTATTTCTTAAATTAAATTCTCCATGCATTTCTAAACTCTTCTGTAATTTCCCCCCCATGTGGAACATGGAATTTATTTTTACATTTAATTAATTTTTTCATGAAAATATTGTTTTCCATATTGTAGAACTGTCAGTGATGCTCCTTTTTTGATCAAATACACATTATTTCTAGTTTGTGTTAAAATTTAAATATAAAGCTTAACATTATACCTGATCTATTCAAAGTATTTCAGTGTTACTTTTATGGCACCGACCGCAGTTTTAAATTTGAATTAAATGGCAAATTAAAGGTCTTTTTAAAAAGATAAACTGTGACTCACTTAATAAAATGAAGCATTACTTTTGTTTTTGCAGTAACAAAACATGTCATTTTACTTTAGTGGTTATTAATTCTAGAAATGAGAATCCAGGTTTCATTCCTGATCTTCACCCAAACCTAAGGAGCCATTTTCACTCAGTGATGAACTGATGATGATGATGATGCCCTCTTCCTCCTGACCTTTCATCCTTTCTGCTGTCGCTTCCTGAAGCTCCATCTCGTCTCCATCCATGAGGAGGAAGTGACTATGCAGCTGACTGCGCCCTCTGCTGGAAGCATGCTGGAACAACATCTAGATTGAGAACCAGAAAAATTCTTATTTTTAAGCAAGGAAATAAACATGCACATATGTAAATAAAAATCAGTTAAACATTGTTAGATATTTACATAAACTATAGATAAATTAGTCAGATCGGGATTATTCAATCAAAAAAAAGTTAATCAGAAGAAAAATGTTTTATTTGGGAATAGAATAAATGCTTAATTATAGCATTATATTTTATAATTATAACAATATCAGCTGTAATACTATTATTACAGCTGATATTTTATAAGTGGAAAACTTGTCATATTTTTGGTGTACAATAAACCTCTGTTAAATAGTGAGAAATAAATGTCAGCTTAGTAATTTTGCTTCATTTAAACATTGAGTTGTTCCTACCTCATTAGTAAAAGTTCAGATATAATATATGTTGGTTACTATAAATAATGAGCTTTAAACATGCTTTATGAACAAGACGTTTTCTGCAAAGATTAGATTTAATTTTTACAAACCAGTTATTCTTTTCAGACTATATTTTCCAAAGTGTTTCAATTTCTATGACAATTGTGAACCATTTGTCAAATAATTAGGCCCGAGCAGCTAAGCGCTGCGAGAGCCTATTGAAACTGTACTGTTTATTAGGCCCGAGC